CCGCCCCCGGCCCCACGTGGTTCCAGCGGCGCCGGCTCCCAGCTCCGTGGGCCGCCGAGCCATGGGCGAGCCTGCTGCCGACGTGCGCGCCTTCCTGCGCGAGCACCCGAGCCTGCGGCTGGAGCCCGGCGCCAGCAAGGTCTGCGGGTGCCCCTGACCGTCCTGGACCCCCTCACCGCCCCCGGGGGCCCGGGACCCCCCCGTATCCTCCCACCGCCCCCGGCTTCCCTCAACCGCCCCCCAGGACCCCTTCACTGCCCCTAGCACCCGCCTCCGACTGCTCCACCCGCCCGCAGGTGAGGTGCACTCTGACGGGCCACGAGCTGCCCTGCCGCCTGCCCGAGCTCCAGGTCTACACTCGCGGCAAGAAGTACCAGCGGCTGATTCGAGCCTCCCCGGCCTTCGACTACGCCGAGTTCGAGCCGCACATCGTGCCCAGCACCAAGAACCCGTATGTGGGCAGGGCGGCCTGGCACCGTAGGGTTCCGGGGCGGGGGCGGGCGGGCAGGCGGGCAGTTCTAGCGCTGAGTCTGGCCGCTGCTGGGCTGCAGACTCCGAAGTCCGACCCCTCCCGCTGGGTGAGCGCTCCTCGAGGACGCGCCAGTTCTGCAGGCCTGCCTTCCCGTGAGTTAGGAGACCTGGGATCCAGGCGGGCGTCCTGGGGCTGTGTCACCCGGATCGCGGCTGAGGCCCGCCCCGGGGGCATGTTTGCTGCTTTGTAGACGGGAGGGTTGTCACCTTGGCCTGTGGGCTTCATAGAGGATTGGAGCACTGGTGCTTGGTTAGCTTCACAGCTTTAAAGGAGAGCTTGGTTTTGTCTGAGAGTGTGTGGGCAATGGCGAATGCTCCCACTTATTGAGCATTTTGCCAGGCTAAGCCTTGAACATGCATTCTCATGCTGCAGCCATCTGGTGAGGCTGGCTAGGTCTCTCTTCCAGGTAAACGGTGAGGCCACAGTCAGTGTGTATCAGTGGTTTTTCCACCCTGGCTGCAGAGTGGAACTGCTTGGGAGTTTTTTTTGTTTGTTTTGTTTTTTGGTGAGGAAGATTGGCCCTGAGTTAACATCTGTTGCCAGTCCTCCTGTTTTTGCTTGAGCAAGATTCGCCATGAGATAACATCTGTCCCCATCTTCCTGTATTTTGTATGTGGGACACCACCACAGCATGGCTTGATGAGTGGTGCGTAGGTCCTTGCCCAGGATCCAGGCCTGTGAACCTCAGGCCGGGAAGTGGAGTGCACAAACTTAACCACTATGCTACCGGGCTGGCCCTGCTTGATGCCCAGGCCACGTCGTAGACCTCCCCCTCGGACTCTCTGGCGGTGATTCCAAGATGGAGCCATGGTGGAGGCCCACTGGTCTGGATCCTTGCTTGTGAACTGTCCTTGCAAACCAGGTCTCCCTGCCCCTCAGGCACCAGCTGTTCTGCAAACTCACTCTGCGGCACATCAACAAGTCCCCGGAGCATGTGCTAAGGCATACCCAGGGCCGGCGGTACCAGAGAGCTCTGCGTAAATGTAAGTAGCCATGGGGTACCCAGACTGCCCAGGAGGAGCGTCCCTAGAAGGCAGAAATGGCGTCTCGGTCATCCTTCAGCAATACTTGGTGGATGCACCGGCCGGTCCCGTCACAGTGAGGAGAGCAACGATGGTAGAGACAGGTGCACAGCAAGGAGCAGACTCCCAAGTGATTGCAGGTTGTGTAAGAGCTGTGGAGGGAAGGGTGCCGGGGACGCCAGGCGGGCCTGCCCTACCCTACGCAGGAGGCCTGGGAAAGGCTCTCCGAGGGTTTCTCTTGAGGCTGAGACTTGAGAGATGTGTGGACTGGGGGTGAGGTGCTCCAAGTAGAGGAAAGGGTCCTTGCGAGGTCTGAGGCAGAAAAACACTGGGCTGTGGGACGTTCTGAAGGACAGCCATTGTGCCCCCGTGCAAGGTGGGGTTAGAAAGTCAGGTGGGGATGAGACCACAGAGGGTCCTGGAGGCCGTGGTCAGGAGCATGTGCAGTGGGGATGCATTGAAAGGATTAAAGCCGGGACAGAGAACAGTTTGTGTCTCAGGATCACTTCTGCTCAGAGGGGGCACCCTGGCTGTGCAATCACCCAGGTGAAGACGGTGGTGGCTGGGTTGGTAACCCAGTCGGGTTACCAGGTGTTGGCAGGGAAGATGGAATGATGTGGACAGGTTTAGCTGTTTTGTGGATAGAATCAGTAGATGAGGGGAGGGAGGCGAGGAAGAAGTCAGCTGTGAATCCTAAGTTCCTGGCTTGTGCGCCTGTGGATGACGTGTCATTAAGTTAGGAGAGTGGAGTCTAGATGATAGGCTTTGTGGGGGAAATTAAAAGTCCCTTTGGACATTTTTAATTGGAGGTGTATCAGGGAGGGTGGCTGTTGAAAACATGGGTCAGCACTCAGATGAAGTCATTGACATAGAGATGGCATTTGCATCCATGGAGCCAGGTGAGAAGGGCCAGGGCTGGGCCTGAGCACAGAGGAGCCCCAGGATGGTGAGGAGGACCCGGATGGAGCGGTATCTGGGACAGAGGAGTTTCAAGGAGAAAGTGGTAGACTCTTATCAAATGTTACTGAAGGAAAGATGAGGACAGAAAAGTGACCTTGAGATTTGACAAAGGTAGCTGAGGTGGCATGGTGGGGACAGAGCCAGATTGGAAAGGGGTGGTAGACTGTAGCCTTGTGAGGCGGGCGAAGGGAGGACTGGGATGGGGACCCAGTCAGGTGGGTTTGATGCTGGGAAGATGAGGAAGACAAGTCCAAAGGCTTTATTTCCCAATGAAGAAATGAGACCCGGTCTCCACCTGAGGGTGAAAGTGGAGGATTGGGAAGGCAGGACACCCATTCCCTGGGCACCTTGCAGAGATTCCGCGCAGGCCCAGAGCCTGGGGGTTTGGTTTTCTCCAATCACGTTCAGCGCTAGGCATGGGCAGGAAGGAGCAGCGGGTAGGGGGGCGGCCTGGGCTGGGGTTCCCCCTGAGTAAGAGAGTAATGATGATGCGGGGCCGTGGAGCTGAGACAGGACGAGGAGGCAGTGAGGCCTCTTCGGTGGTGGCCTGGAGGAGTCAGAGCATGGCGGCGAGGGACGTCGCCGAGGGCGCTGTGAGGAGATGCTGGATGCAGGTTCTGGTGGGGACAAGGCTGCTGTGGGCCCGGAGCGGGTGGCAGAGATGAAGCGGGCTAGGGCTGCGGAGGTAGGCAGAAGTGGGCAGTGACATCCAAGGCCAGGCCCAGCAGGACTCGTCTACCCCGTGAGGGACAATGGTGGGAATTTTTGGGGGTGACAGTGAGAGCCAGCTCCCCCCATCCCCTCTCCCCGTGAGGGAGCTGCACTGGAATGGAGAGGCTTGTGCCAACGGAGGGCAAGCTCCAGCAGCCTGGCCCCTCCATGATGCCCTCCTCCTCACCAGGGGTCAGTCAGCACCCCCCACACCAGGGTGGGCTCCCTGAGTCCTCAGTGCTGGAGGGACCAGTGTGACTCCAATGAGGTCCTTCCATGGAAGCCTCATCCTGGCCCCTCCACCCCCAGCCAAGGGTCAGCAAGGCTTGGCTCCAGCTTCCACTGAGCCTCACCATCCAGGGTTGGGTCCTGGCCACAGTGCCTGCGAGGGGACTTCATTCTCCTGGAGACAGCCCGACACGGCTTCCATGCCAAGCTGCACTTATATCGGTGCCTGCTCAGTGCCCTTCCAGCTGCTGCTCCCTAGAGCCTGGCTGGTGCTGGTGGCCCAGGAGACCTCTACCATCTTCTTGGCTCTCGACCCACACCCCCGCTAGCCTCCCTCCTCTCCTGGGAGGAACTGAGCTGATGGTACTTACCTGCCACCACTAATTTTTACCCAGTGGGTGGCGTGTGGGGGCCGAGAGGATGAGGGAGGACTGGGCAGTGTGCTGGCCTGTCTCCCAGATGCAGAGTGCCAGGAGCAGGGTGTGGAGTATGTGCCTGCCTGCCTCCTGCACAAGAGGAGGAGGAGGGAAGACCAGATGGACAGTGACGGGCCACCTCACCCCAGAGAAGCCTTCTGGGAACCCGAATCCAGCAATGAGGATGGCGCCCCAAGTGACAGTGACGACAGTATGACAGACCTGTACCCACGTAAGCGGGAATGTGTCCCCTCCCCGTCCCGTGGATTTGGGTCTCGGCTGTCCAGTCCATTTCCTGTCAGCAGCAAGTGGGCTCTGGCCTGTTCCTGCCTCCCGCTGTGTGTGCTCCTCAAGCCCGGGGCCCAGGCTGATGGCTCTCCCACTCAGCCCCCTGCACAGGTGTGAACTCAACCTAAAACAGCCCATCTCTCTATTCCTTCCAGCCGAGCTGTTCACCAGAAAGGACCTGGGAGGCACTGAGCATGGGGACAACACTGATGACTTTTTGACAGATGATGAGGATGAGAAGCCAAGGCGCCCACGGGAGAAGGGCCCTGGGGATAGAGAGGGGATGGAAGTGGACCGGGAGATGGTCCTCAAGCGCAGGAAGGTGAGTCATACCTCCAGGGCTGCTAGCATGATAGCAGCTTCCTCTAGTGATTTTCAATTTCTTGAGAGAAATAAAAAAAAAAAAAACCTTTTCTGCAAATAAAATCCCAAGCTGACAATACATAAGGTAAGAGCCAAGGCTGCTCTGATGGGGAGGGGGGCCTGCCTCCTGGTTTGCACGTGTGCCGAAGCCGGGCTCCACAGAACGGGTTCAAGACGGCTGGTCTGCAGGATGACTGCCTGAGTGCAGACACTGCCCCTTACCCTTGCGACCAGAGCAGGAGTGAAGATTTCGTCCCCTGTGGTAGAGAAGCAGGATCAGGGCTAGAAGTAGTCAGGGTCTTTGTGGCAAGGTTTGGGAAGTCGAGGTGCTGCCTTTAAGGTGCTCCCTGGCATCGCCATGGAAGCCAGCAGCTGTGTGGGGAGCCGTGGGCGGAAAGCTGACCAGGGAGTTTCCAACTAAAACCTCCCTGTCTGTACAGACTGGGGGGCTCTGGACCCACAGCCCCTTCATCTCGGGTCAGAAAGGCTCCACTGATCGGAATTGTCTGTTCTTGCCACAGAAGCAGTTGGGCTCGTCCAAGAAGTTCAAGAGTCATCACTGCAAACCGAGGAGCTTCAGGTCTTTTAAACAGTCAGGTTAATAAAAGATTGCTGGAGACAACGCATCTTGACAGCCTCTGGAGAATCCTTCAGGCGTTCCACCCTGTGTTCCTCTTCAGGCCGCCTGCCATGCATCCTCTGAATGTCAGGGCGTCCCAGGGTCTTCTCCATCCACTCCTCGTTTGCTGCCCCAGAAGGCAGGGCTGGGGGTGTATCCTGCAGATGTCAGGGTCCCGTCCCCCACACCCAGGAAGGATTCTGTCTGGATGTGGCTTCTATGTGCTCCTCAGTGAAGCCTAGAGGGTCCGCCCGGCTCCCTGCAGATCCTGAGGAGAGCCCTGGCCAGGCCCCACCCTGGCTGAACAACAGCAGAGGATCACACTGCATACAACAAATGCCATTATTTATTTTGATGTGTTTCCAAAAATCAAAATGTTTTCAAACACAACTAAGTTATAAAATACAGCATAAAATGAGATTTATACCTATTTCCCACATAAAGCAAAAAAATTTTCAGAAATTGTTTTGCCAAACCAATTGGTAAAGCATATTCTTCTCTCCTCCCCACAGAGGCATCTACCCCTGTCACAGGCAGTAGCCCACTCAAGGCCAGGGGGGCGGGGACAACCTCCAATATCCAGGGTGACTAGTGAGGACCACGCCCCTCGGCCTCCTGGGGTCGATCCCAGCTTCCACAAACCAACAAAGGTCTTCTGAGTGAGGGCCAGGGAGCACCCGTACCCTGCCAGAAACAGTGCCACAGAGAGACTGCGACGGGACTGTCACGCTGTGTTAACGGGGAAGGGGGTGTGGACCCAGAGACGGCCCTGCTGAGGTGGAAACAAACCACTTTCATGTAGTGAGCGTCGAGTGAAGCAGAAAAGCTCTCTGTCCTTAAGCCATTGCTTCATCTCATAAATACCAGGGAAGCACGGAGGCAGGCCTTCAGGGGAGGGTTTAGGAACATCTTGGGATGAGCCTGTGCTGTGGCTGGGACACAAGGTGGGGTGTTGAAAGGTGTGCCATTGCTCCCCTCAGGTTAGGTGGGTCCAGGCTGCAGAGCCAGGGAAGGTCCTAAGAGCACTGGTGGGCAAAGCAGGCCTCAGCCCTGTGCTGGGAAGCTAACCAGGGGCACATGGAGGCTCCCCACCGCACCATAGCTCTAGTCTGAAAAGTAAACGTGGAGCTGGCTCAGGCCTGACCCCCAGGAGCCTGGGGATGGCCCTCAGGCTTGCACACCTAGTTGATGAAACCAGAGAAGAAAAGACAAGCTCCAAGGAAGTCCCCGTTCTGAGTTTGGTCAGCCTCACCCAGTCTGCCCTGCAGAAGGATCTGGGGGCAGGACCAGTGGGAGGCAGAGATGTTCTGACTCTCTCCCCGTGGCATCCGCTACAACGCAGATGAGTGGAGAACAGCAACAGCACTCACACCCCCCAAGAAGAGAAACACAATATAAGGCAATGTTAGAAAACTTTAAATACAGCATTAAGATCCAATCAGTAAGGCATCACAAATTGTAAAAAGTAATTTGGGCTGCATCCAGCATAGCAAATAGACAATCGGAGCAAGCAGCAGCCTCATGAAGATGGTAAGTCATGGCTGCACAGCCTGGGAGGAATCCCTCCAGCCAAAGAAAAGCCAGGCTGGGCACTCAGCCAGGTCGGCGCTCTGCCCACGGTGTCAGCCACGGCTCTACGAAAAGGTCGAGTGTGAGGTAACTGGTCTGAGAGCCCGCTGTCACTGCTCTGCCCCACGGTGGCGGTTGTTCCTCCTAAACCGGTCAAATGGGAGCAGCCGAGGCCAACGTGCAGACATGCTGCCAGACCCTGGTCAGCATGCCGGTCCCTGTGGGCTCTAGGTGGTGTCCCGAGGACTTCCAGCCCACCGTCCAGACCGTGAGCCACTAAAGCTCCCGGGGTATCACCCCATAAAACAATTAAGCACCAATCCAAGACAACTTTCTGATTAATGACTTTTACCATCAACAGCAGCCTCAGTCGCCATCTAATACTGCATCATTCCCTGGGTTTTGGGTTTCTCTAAATGTTTTCATTGTCCCTATATTATAACACAGGGCAGAAACAATGTAGAAGCCACTGGTGCGATTTTAAACCAGTGAGTTTGACAGTGTGTTTGATGTTTGGCTGGGCCATCCCAAATCTTTTAGTAGTTTTAGCTAAACACATAAACTTTAAAAAAATAAGAGGGAGACTGCTTTGAATGACACACAACTGTATCTGCTCACAGTACAGCTTGAAGGCCCCCCACCCCCCCAAAAAAGAGAAATGAAAATAGGACTGAGAGACCACAGCCAACCACACTGCTCACTCTGGGAAGCCGAGGCCTTGCCTTGGGGAGGGAGGTGCTAACCGTCCAGCCGGCCAGCTCTGAATGGTCAGATATCAGGTTGTGGGTCCAGAGCAGATTTAGCCATCAATTTTTAGGTGTCTGCAAATAAAGTTCTCAAAACATCTGTGCCTTTACCAAGGGAGGGAAGGGAAGAGGATACATAAATGCTGGCAGTTCTGTCGAATCCACCACGAATGAGTCCTCGATGGCTACGGGTCTTAGCCAGGCAGGGAAGGGGTCTGTTACCACTCTTTCTTCTTCTCGTCCATGGAGACGCCCCCGGGGCCCAGAGCCACCACCAGGAGCAAGCCTCCGATCACCGACATGGTCTGGAAGAAGTCGTACTTCAGGAAGTCGTGCATGGGCTTATAGACAGGAATGGTCCAGAAGGCGTTGAAATACACGTTGATGGCAAACAGCCAGACGACAAGAGTCAAAGCGGCCAGCTTGGTCTTAAAACCAATGGCCACTAAAATCATCAGAGCCGTGCCCACAATGTTCTGGAGAATCTGCGTAGGTTGAAAGGTAAGAAATTCAAAATAAATGTGAGGAAGAAGAGACATATCACGTTTTGCGTGTGTGTGCGCGCACATGTGTGTGTGTGAGGAAGACTAGCCCTGAGCTAACATCTGCCAATCCCCTCTGTTTGCTGAGGAAGACTGGCCCTGGGCTAACATCCGCCAATCCCCTCTGTTTGCTGAGGAAGACCGGCCCTGGGCTAACATCCATGCCCATCTTCCTCTACTTTATATGGGACCCTGCCACAGCATGGCTTGACAAGCAGTGCGTTGGTCTGCGCCCAGGATCCAAACCTGCAAACCCCAGGCCGGCAAAGCAGAGTGCGTGAACTTAACCACTGAACCACCGGGCCGGCCCTGAGACGTATCATGTTTTATCAACAGGCAAGTTCCTTCTGCCCCGTGTCACTGAAGTATCTGTGCCAGGGTGATGCAACTAAGGGGTGTGTGGAGAGGCAGCCGCTTAGGAGCTGGAGTCTGCATTACAAGTGGAGAATAAAAACGGGGGACGATAGGGGCCGTAGATAAAGCAGCATTTTGAACCATGAAAGGTCTGGAGAAGATGAAAAGCAAGTCTCCAATTAATAGGCTGTGATTTACCAAGACACACAGGTGGGCCTCTAAGCCATAGCTCCATTCCCCAGTGCTCCTCAGAACCAACCTCTCCCCTCTCCCCCAGCACCAGGAGCCCCTCCTGGGTGCAGTCGGCTATAAAGACATGCTCTGTAAGCTCCTCGGGACCAGGACAGAACCTTCTTCAACTCTGCACCCCAATACCTGGCACACAAAAAGTACACGATAAAGGTACAAGTGGGAGGAAGGAAAGAAAAAGAAGAGGAATCTGTGTAGAGAACCTCGGTCGAACAGCCTGGAGAGCCAGCGCACCAGTCTTCCAGTAAGGTCAGGGAGATTCTGGACTCAATTTGTCGGAAAGGCAGCTTCTTGGCACTCAAGAGCTTAGAGGTTTCTTGTTTCTTTTCATAGGATCAAAATGTTTGCTTCCTTTGAGCCAACTCATTCCAGTGGCCCCTTGACCATGCTTAGTACACAACCAGGGAAGAGGGGGGCAGGGCTGGGAGGACAGCACGCCTTCTCGGACAGGAGACCAGAGCCGTCTAGGCAAGCAGGAACACTTACCGAGAAGAAGCTGGCGTCAAAGTGCAGGAGGGTCATGAACATCAAGACCAGCAGGACCCTGCCTCCGAGCTGCATGTACTGTTTGGGGGAGCTCTCGCGCACGGTGGGGACGCCGGCGAACATGCTCTTCCCCTCAGACCGGGACTCCGCCAAGAGCAGCAACAAGCCTCCTCCCAGAGCCAGGTTCCTGAGGAACAGGAATGCCGGGCTAGTCGCTAAGGCTCATGGGGCACTACAAGCGCCCGTGAGACCACAGTGGGACACCCTGCCGTGAGCACATCCCTCACTCCACGCTCCAAGCAGGACCGGGCGGGCCTGAGTCCACAGGACCAAAGACCTGAGTCACACCTATGGAAAGCCTTACAGGACTGAAGACACAGGTGTGTCTGTCCTGTGTCCTTACCCCAAACAGTGACGGGGAACCTGAACACACACGGAACCCAGGCCCAGCTCGGCTTTACTGCTGACCAGTAGGTGCCCCTGAGCAAGTGTGTTTTCACTGGGACCCTCATTCTCTCCCTCGTGAAATGTGGAGTCGGGAGAGACGACTGCTTTCTCACCAGTGTCCTAGGCGCCCTGGGTGGGGCTGGAAAAGGCTCTGCCAACATCCACTACAGAGTCTAAGCAGCTCAGTTTGGACACAAAGAAGTTGATTCCAACCGATAGTTACTGAGTTAGAGATATGAGGAAAGTACACTAAACTCACCGACAAGAATGCACCTACCTCATCAGAAACTTCAAGTCCCATAAAATGCTGTAGGCAATCGTCTGAAGGCAACAGAGGAGAGAGAGAAACTTGAGTCCCAGCATTTTCAAACGAACTTCTATTTCTATGGAACTACTAGCATTAGGCAATCTTTCCAGTGAGAAGAGAAGATACACGAAAGCGTGCTGGGACACCTGCAAGGCCAACAGCACGGCTCTGCACAGCTCAGAGCGTGCTGGTGGGCCCCCGGCCCGTTTATCAAGCACCCGCTCAATCACAGCTGTGCCCGAGATGCTCGGGAGAACACGGCGGTCCAGACCACTGATCTAGACTGAAATGTTATGTGTTAAACATTTCATCTGAAGAGCTGGGCATTCTTCTTTATGAAGTAAAACGATAACAAGACAGGGTCCTGGCGGCGGCCAACCTCATGACTTGTCCCCTTGTCAAAGGAAACTCAGGGAAGCGGCAAAAGGTAGGCCCGGCTCCCAGAGCTCGGCACTTGGGCACCGCTCGGCCACACGCTTCTCCTGAGCTTGCCTTGAGGAAAACCTAGTGATTTCTCAGAAGAGAAAATGAGTTCCAGGCAGAGACACACACAGGGCTGAAGGGGAGTGAAGCTGAGTCCTCAGAATGCCTTTCCAGAAGCTCTGCTCCGCCAGAGCCAGGAAAAGGGAGGCCCCCACTGTGCGTGTCTACCTGCAGTGCTATGATTCCGAAGAGCCCAAAGCAGGCGTACTGCACGAAGTTCCTGCTCAACACCAGGATGCAGCCAGCTGGAAAGGAGAGGCCAAAGGTCAGGGGACACTGCCACAGCAGCTGCCACCGCAACTGGCCCTCTGGTGCAGTGGCAGCCCAACTATCTACCCCATGCAAAAAGCAAGTTCCGGGAGAACTAATGATAGGCATGACCACACACGTCAATTGGACTTGATGTATCAAAACCACTGGTCTAGAAAGTGGATCTCTTGTGACAGAGACAGGCCATTTTCCAGAGTCAGCTGTCCATCAGAGGCTCTGCTGTGGAGAGCTTCAGGATGGCTGAAAAGCACAAGTCCCTTTCTTGCCCCATATGTACAAAGAGGGTGGGCTGCCACCAGAAGACGGTGGTCAGGAGCAGACAGACCTGAAGCTGCCATGAGCCACGTTCCAGTCTAATGCTCTCCTTCCTGTTTACCCCTATTTATCCTTTCCAGACACCTCTGTTTTTGACCACCTGGGCCCCGCACTGGCCTACCCAGGTCACCCAGTTGCCAACATCTCCTGCTCTGGGCACATAAAAACAGGGACTGTATCATTAGCCCAGGGTTGAACACGAGCACCACCCAGATGCTTGCAGAACCAACTCCCAGCCCTGGAAAGAAGGGAAGGGGAGCAGACGACTATCCCAGGAGACCCTCCAGCTCAAACGCGGCCTCCCCATCTCTCATGGTCGGCACTTGGCCATGGTGTTGGTGGCGTAGGGGGCACTCACTCAGCTGCCCGAGCAAGTTGAGGATCACGAAGGAGGAGGCCAGCAGGTAGCCGCAGTTCCAGGTGCTGTCGATGTAGTCCCGCTGCTCGCCCCACTGGAACCACATGCGGATGCCATCCTCCAGGAAGGTGCTGATCAGGCAGAGGCGCGCCACGTGAGGGAGGTACTGCTTCGTGACTCGGAGGAACTGCAGGCCACAGAAACCGCTGGGTGAGGAGGCTGCAGCAGGGACAGCAGACCCTAGCCAGGCGCTTCCTGGGTGGGGGCGCGTGGGCACTCGGCACCTGCTCCCAGCACTGCCCTGTAGGTCTGGATGTGTGACAACCCAAGCATCAGTCCCAGAGAGGGACGACTCGGCACTGGGCTCAGACCCCCCTACAGCGACAGACACGACGCTCTCCTATGACCTCCTCTATGATCTCAGCAGACGTGTAGGTGGCAACTACAGTTGTCAAACATGGAACTGCCACAACACACCCAGCACCTAATCTCAGTCAAAGGCATGAGCAAATCAGAATCACCGAATGACAGGCTGAAGAGGCCCTCCGAGACCATCTGAGTTTCTCCACTCGGCACTCCCGCACTTGGGCCCGGGTCATGCTTCACTGTGCGGGCGTCCGGCACTAAAGGGTGTTTAGCGACATCCGTGGCCTCTACCCACTGGTTGCTATTAGCAGCCCCCCTCCAACTGTGATAAGCGAAAATCCCTCCAGGCATTGCTGCATGTCCCCTGAGGGGGAAAATCACCAGCCCTCATTCAGAAGCTCCGATCTAGTCCAACCTCTCATTTTACAACCAGCAAACTGAAGCCGAGGGGAGAGGGCTCACCCAGAGCTGTGCGGACCCGACACTGCCATGCTGAGGCTTGACCCGGCCTCCTGGTCACACATAGCTGAGCCTGTGGCCTCCCAGCCACCCCAGTGACGCTCAGAGCCCCTCCAGACAGAAGAGAGCTGGGCACTCTCTTGAGACGACAATCTGCTTAGGTGACAGCCGGGGTCCCAGCCCCAGAGGGCCTCATGGTTGGCCAAGCAGTAAGCTCACGTGTTTACACTTATCCAAAATCTCCCAAGCAGTGAGAGGACACGCCAGGCTCTGGCCAGCACGTGTGTGGAGGTAGGAACGACAGTGCATGTCCCAGCCCCTCACAGAGTTCCCCTCCAGAGACTCAAGATCAGCCTTGGGCAACTGTGTGTGTGCAACAGCTGTGAGCAACACAGGAACTGGTGTGGCAATGGCTGGGAAGCTCTGGGATTTTTTAAAAACCTGTGTAGCCCAAAGCAAATTGAAACCACGCTAACAAATGGGATGGACAACTGTTTAAACAGCAATGAAATTCAAGTGTGAGAAATCCCTGGCAAATGTCAGAGAGAGAAAACCACACTGATAACTTCCTCCTGCTCTGTGCGAGTTCTGCCATTCCTGATTAGGAGACAAATATGCAGGTCAAACTGAGGTACAAATGTCATTCCGGTGCACACCACGCACCTTCTCATACCAATCACTCAAAGCTGAGATACAAAGGGAAAGAAACCCTACGATATACGATAACACAGCAGGACCTGGGGAGAAAGACCGGGGACCAACCCACGTGAGTGACGTGTCAGGACTCGAGAGTCTAAAGGGCATCATGAGTCTGACCCCTCAAAGGGACAGTCAAATCAACGTCACAGTCCCTCTTAGGGCTGACTACATCTATTGTTGGAATAAATGAAGGTGTATATGAGACCGTTTCTTAATTTTTGGCATTTTGAAAAGTTGCTTTCAAGTCCTAGAAACTGCTGAAGCTGTCGATCACAGTTACTGAGCCTCTGGTTGTTTAGATAAAACTTTAGTTCCTCAACTTTGGCTCAGTCAGCACAGAGAACTCCCCTCCCGGTCTGATCCGACTGGCTCACCTGGAGGAGGAAGAGGAGTAAGAGGTTACAAGCCAGGTGTCATTCTCTTCAAATCCACTGAGCTAGAGCCCTGAGGTGTTGCTTCTGCACACATCTGTCAGCCCTTGACCCCCACTGAAGTGGTGGCAGAAGTCACAGTGAGAGACAGACAGATGCCCAGACAATCAACGAAGCGGGTACAGGGGCTGAAGCACGGGCTGAGGCTGAGGCCCCCTGTTCTCATCCTGGCTCTGACACCCGCCAGCCAGGGTGCTGTGTGACTGTGGACAAGATGAGTTACTTTTGGGGTGGGGGGGTCTCTGCTGTCCTTCTACACAGTGAGGACAGCTGGACTGATGTTTGCTAAGATTCTTTCCAACTTAAGCAGAGGAGAAAAGGGAAGGAGAAAGGGGCTTGTTTCAAAAAAAAAAAAAGGGCCCCAGTATTCCTATGCAAATTCTGGAGTCCACGCAGAGACAAACACAGGAAGTATGCACACTCGGTGTGAACACACACACGTGCGTATCAGATGAGGGTGTACGGGGACAGCTGACGCCACACACACACCCTCCCATTTCTGCTTCACGGCCCAAATGCTTTCGACATGCCCAGCAACAGTGTAATCATCCCCTTCGGTGAGGAGACAGGGCGCCTCCTCGGCTTGAATGCGATGGCCTTTGTGTCGGGGCCAAGCCAAGAGGCCCTGGCAACGACCCAGGCCTCACCTGGACATATACAGCTGGGGAGGAGCAATGGCAAGAGTGGCAGAGCTGCACAGGAAGGCTGCAGACTCAGAGAGACTGGGGCCATGGCAGGACTCCCGGGGGAGGGTGACCCCAAAAGGCAGCACAGAGACAGACATCGGAGGTGTTCTGACTTGCCTCCAAACTGGTGCTGAAAGCCGCTCACCGCCAAGTCTGCCCCATCGCCGTGCTCACCAGAGAGGAGCAAACAAGCCCAGGCCCATGGGGCTTCGGTCTACGCCGCCTCAGCTAAAGCACCCCGTCGAACACACTCATTTGCTCCGCAGCACAGCCCGCGAGATGGACGCGGTGTTTAAAAGCCTCTGGGATGAGTCTGTACTCTTAATTTGAGTGTCTGGGTCAAGAGGATTAAAGAGCAACAGCGAGAATCTCCCCTTCAGATCGGTAAGTCACTCCTCCCTCCCGTGCAGACATGCCCAAGGAGACAGACACCTCTTTGCTTTGGGAAAAAAATGCAAAAATCCAGGTATTTGCGCTCTGAACTAAGCATGTACCTGACTTTCCAAGTCAAATGTGGTCTAGGTTTAAGGTTGACTATTTTATAAGTCAGGCTGATCCAGAGGCTCTTTTAAACCAGCCATCCTCTAATGAGCACCTGTTCGGACTGAACACGGAAGAAAAAAACTATGTTTAATAACGAGACCAGGGGCCGGCCCTGTGGCTTAGTCGTTAAGCATGCGCGTTCCACTGCTGGTGGCCCGGGTTCGGATCCTGGGCGCGCACCGACGCACCGCTTGTCTGGCCACGCTGAGGCCACGTCCCACATACAGCAACTAGAAGGATGTGCAACTATGACACACAACTATCTACTGGGGCTTTGGGGGAAAAATAAATAAATAAAATTATATATAAAAAAAAACTAACGAGACCAGACCCAATTTTCACCTTATTCCCTACATGCGTTTTGGTCACAACGATTCAGACTTGGCCACTGAACCCACATCATGCTACCTTAGACAATGTCCCAAAGCCAGTGTCCCCTCTGGACAGCAGAGAAGAGCCCCCAGATCAGGCATCCAGGTGCACCCAAGGGCTGGGAACAGTCCCCTGACAGGCGCTCGGGCTATGCCAGCATCCAGCACGTGCCATGGGTCCTGAAGGCCAGGGGCTGCCTGCCGACTATGCCCGCTGCAAGCACATCCTGCCCGTGACTGCCGCTCCCGGGAGAGACTCGTGGAGGCAGACACAAAGTCGGGGGAGCCCGCAGGAGGGGCAAGGACAGTTCATCGCCCTCTGTGGGGCAGGCCTTTCAGAGGAGTCTCCCAGGACCTCACAGTCAGGCACGATATGGTTCACAAGCAGCGACAGCAGCTGAGTAACTTCAGAAATATGGAAAGCTGAAACTTGTTTACAAGGGGTTATTATTTTAAAGAACTGAAGGGGATTTAAGAAACGTAATCATACCCATCCTGAGATGTAACTTGGAATATAATGACCATGTCACACAGCACAACTCACAAAAACCTACTTTCTCTAAGTATCCCGGACAAAAGGAACTGAGGAAAGCAGTCTGCAGGGCTTGGTTAACGAGAACTTCGAGCAGGAGAGAAAGGCAGGTCAGCTCCCCTGACCACCGAGGACTGGGCCTGCCCTTCTCAGGGGCACATCCCAGGAAATTAGAACCTGCGGCCGGGGGACGTCCTCATATCCGGCTGAGTCAGGGCTGGTGCAAGAGTTCGGTGAATCACAGATGCGCATCCAACAGGCCCCCAGAACTCCAAGTCTCCCTGCGGGCTGCTCTGTAGGTTCATGCTGCACCTCAAGGTAAGCTGGAGAGATGGCCTGGCTTTCCCTGCTAAGAATCCATGTGTGACAAAGAGCCTAACTGCAGGAGAGCAGCGACAGGCCACATGGAAGAGAACACGGCTGTGCCTCACCTTCCGGCAGAAGCCTCGCTAACCACAGTCTCCTCCACGTCTTCCCCCAACTCCCCAGAAGAGGTGAGGTGGCTTTTCTTAACCTCCTGTCTCAGCCGGGCAAGCAGGGAAGGCTGAGTCAGCTCTTCTTTGCCTTCTCTCCACACTCCTTATGGCACAGGGCAGGCAGCCCTTGAGGGGGTGGGGGTGACAGAGCACAGAAACAAGAGGAAAACGCTCAGAACCCACACTGTCACCAGAAGCCTACCCACACCCACGCACCGTTAATCCAGAGCCCTCACACCTGTGACTACACATGCCCAGTTCAGTGTCCTGTCGGGGCCATCCGAGCTACCCAACACTAGACCAGAGGCCAAAGGGAGCTCCTGGGGGTGAATGCTCCCAGGACTGGCTCTGTCGTGCGAAAGGACAGGTAAAAAAATCAAAGGCCACAGTGGAGAGCAAGGCACTACGCAGCTTATCTGTCACCTTGGTGATGAGCCAGCAGGCAGAACCCATTAAGCACTAATACTCCTGTTTACTGGGGTAATTGTGCTGGGAAGTGACAGTTTGCAGATCAGCAGCGAGAGCCAGCTCCTGGGCACAGACACAATTTTGGATTGCTGAGTTCATTGGTCTCTGGCCCCTTCCGCCTGGTCTCAGATGGCTTCCGAATGCCTAGCTCCCGCAGAGAGCACTCTCAGCAGTTTCCCCAGGGCCTGGCTTCCAGGGACCAGGAGGACACTGTCCCTGGCTGCCCAGGGCAAGGACTTCGATGCCAGAGATGCAGCTCGGAAGGAGCCTCACCCTCTAACCTTGTACCCTGTGCTCTAGCCTCTGCAGACCTGAAGGAAAGGGTGCAGTATGGCCAAGCAGCAAGGAGCTCAGCCTTTGGGGTACCAAGACTTGGACTCAAAACTTCAGCCTGCCACATGCTGTGCAAGATCACAGCAAACCTCCCTCTCCGCATCTGAAGGTGCACACACCATGGCCAACCTCATACAGTCTGGAGGGTGACTGGGGGACCAGGCCCTGTGCTGGCATATTAAAGGTTCAGTATTATTGTCATAACTCTCCAAGGATGCACAGGCCTTCTTAAGTCCCACTCTCAGCAGCCCAGACTTTCTGGTCAAATCCTGTCACTTCATTTTTGCTTTTGTCTTCTGAAGACAAGGTTAGAAAAAATGGACATGTCACATTATCTGAGCAGTGACTTCAATGATATTTCCCCACTCCCTTCAAATTAGATCATTTTCATTTTAAAAGCCTGGATGCTCAGCACCTTCATTATTGGCAGCTTTGTTTTAATACTATGTGGATAAATGTTACAAACAAAAGCCCCACCCCAGCTTGGCCAGATTTTGTCCATAGGAAGCTGTCACTGGCTCTGCACCCATTATCTGCCCGTGTCCTCCTCCAGCGCCAAGCCCACCTGTGGCAGAAGAGGCTCCTGACTTTGGTTGTGAAGAGCACGAAGGCCGCTGCCCTCCCGAGCAGCCCACAAAGGGGCACGCAGGCACCCCATACAAGGCAGGATGTATGTGGCACTAGCCGCAAGGTCAGAGCCTGGGTCTCCTCCCAGGGCTGTGGCCCCAGGCCAGTCCAGGAGCCTCAGCAGGCCTCGCCTTCCTTCCCCACAGTAACTTGGTGCAGGCCGACCCGGAGGCCGACGTATGCCCCTCAAGGGCCTTCTGGTTCCAAGGTTCTGCTTCTTTCATTTAAAACACACAAAATAGGGCCGGCCCTGTGGCTTGGTGGTTAAGTGCGCGCGCTCTGATGCTGGTGGCCCGGGTTCGGATCCCGGGTGCGCATCGAGGCACCACTTCTCCGT